GTGAAGTCGATTATATGACAATAGTCTCTCACTTTTGCCAATCAGCAGGAAGGTTCTCAGTTGATGGCACTTCTGCTTCTTCATGCTCAGACGGATTTTCCACATCAGAGTGATCGTTGTTGCGGCTGGACGACGAAGAAGGCACGAAATGAATATCGGGATCGAAGGATGGCGAAGGTTTTGGTGTTAAAGTTGCAGTTGAACTGGAGGAAAATTTCGCAGATTTTGTTAAATTGAAAGGGTGAAATTTTCGTGATGGATCGATGGTTCGACTGACTGATAGTTTTGTGCGTAATAAGTTTTCAGGAACACAAGAATAATATGGTGCGGCTGAGAAATGACCGCAAAGTCGTTTCGATGTTAAACCTCGTAGGCAAGAACACCACGTCGAGGTCATGATTCGTCGCTGAAAATGTGGATAAACGGGAATAATAGACGAGATCTGAGACATCATTAGAATTAGAACATCAACATGGTAGTGAGGCTAATAATCGGTTTTCTGAAATTTTAAATGTTCACCTGATACATCATTAATATATGTATGATTTCAATGGCGAAAGTCCGTAACACTGTACACCAAATCTGTGTAGACTGTATTTTAGCATTTTCATTCAAGTATCTAAACTACGGAATTTAATTTCACATTTGAAAACACGACAATTCGGATGGATTAAACGGTGTTGTCGTGAATAGCCAACGGATTGCTTTGATACACGCCCATTGTTTTCTTCGTTCCACACCGGACTAAACTGCACAGATAAGGATGTTGTGTTGACAAAATCGCACACAAACGCAAATTTAGAAAAGAATACGTACTGAAGATTCTCATTGAAGTTGTTATGAATCTAATGATAAGAGATTGTTAGCAGCAAGGCTCAAATGGGTGTATATACCATTGAAAACCTCTGAACGTATCTCCCGTTCTCATCTCACCATAGTTACCTTTTTGCGGTCCTGTCGTATCGAACATATCTTGCTTTATCCTGGAAGTATATACGTTGTCATATCAAGAGGTTTCCTAAGGTAAACGCTCCTATGTATATCCTGCATATAGTTTCACATTTATTGAGCACTTGCACCAGAGATGTAATGTTGGGCACCTTTCTACACTTAGGCCTTCTCGTCAGCCATACGGTTTTGCAATCTCAGTATATCAAAAATGATTTATTCCATCCAGGAAACATTTACAAATATATTTTCCCAATATCAAGTGAAAACGCTGAATTTTCGGGATGTAGCTGTGGATATACCCGTCATATAAACGTTTTCGCTTTTTGGCTATTCCTGTTACTATTCAAAACTTCAATCTTTTATTTAAAATTGACCCTTCAAGCTGAAATGTCGGTTCAATGTTTTTGCAGTATTCACTTGTCTTATTGTTAGTAGACACAGGGCTCCACTTTTATTCAAGAAACAAGCTTCAAAAATTCTTTATTGGAAGTGTTTTCTACTGTTAAACGTGCGAATGACAGCCGGCTCAGTGGTCTAGTGGTATGATTCTCGCTTTGGGTGCGAGAGGTCCCGGTTTCGATCACCGGCTGAGCCCTTCTTTTGAACGTTTGACTATGGATTTTCTTTTTTTCCCGAGCAATAACATCCCGAGCAGTCTGTCACAAATCCAACTAAATTGATGTTGATCCTTTTACAGTACTTGATTTATGATTGAAAGGTCTCATGATCTCTTGAATTTGTTGCACCAATTTTAAGTGATGCGCTTCTCGTTCGTTGAGAGTTGTGAAGTTATACATCATTAAGTTTGTGGCTCAGAAATTTTCAATATTATCAGATCGATGTAAATAGTTATTAATAATAACACGCNACATCATTAAGTTTGTGGCTCAGAAATTTTCAATATTATCAGATCGATGTAAATAGTTATTAATAATAACACGCTTCACTGAAATCTAAAAAGCCACCAAAGATCTGTTGTTCACTAAATGGAAACGTCAAAAACCATCCATTTCACTTCGATGATTTGAATACTGCGTTATCGTAGACACATTAATATTCTTCCAACCCTTGTCAAAAACTTTTTGCTAACTTTTTTTCCGGAAAACTGGAATTCTCAGACATTAAGTTATCAAAAAAAGCCAGTCGGAAACAGTGAAACAATTGGGGACCAACTGGCTTCATTCGTATGGATATTTTAAGAGAAATCGATTCCTAACTTTTGAGATTGATTAGAGAAATCTTGAAGTACATCAGTAGTGAATTAATAATATGCTGGAGATGTACCTCACAGTCATAGATCAAAAGGCAAAAAAGAGCCTATCAGTCATTCACTGAAGTTCATTTGAAATTGATAGCAGTTGATAATATTCGCCCAATAATGTTCGTCAAATATACTTTAATGTTGTTGTTCTCTCTGCTGTAAATAATAGTCGCAAATGAATTATTAATAACCCTTTCAAGTGCAACATTTCCCGTTCGGAGATCGTACTGTGAGACGCTCATTGAAAATTGAACCGAAGCGCTT